AGCGACTGCAGCGCCACACGCTCGAGAGCGGGATGGAAGTAAAACAGGCAATAGTGATTTTTTTAGAAATATAGCTAAACTCGATAGCTCTGTAGGAACTTTATATTTGACAAATGGATACGAGTGAGTGTAAGTGAAGCTATGAGTGAAGTGAAATGAGTGGATAAAACACTTCAGAATGCCAATACAGGTCGTGTAGAACTGTAATGAGTAATTAGGGCAGACCCACTTCCGCTTTCCACTCCCGGCCCCTTCCGGTGCGTGGACAATGCGAACGTTGGACAGTTACAGTTTCCGGCAGGGTTGCCAACCTTAAAATTAACTATCTATAATATAAAAATGAATCGCTAAATGTGTTGGTAAGCGCTAATCTCGAGAACTACTTAACCGATTTCGATAATTCTTTTTTTAGAATATTCCTGGAGGTACGAGGATGGTTCTTACGGAGAGAAAAATTTTAAAAATTACCTAAAAATGCCTAAAAACAACGCTTTTCTGTAATCCCATACAAACGATTCTTAATGATACTTAGAAGTCAATTTGAACTTTAATACCATACCATATAGTTCAAGTGTAAGTAGAGAGGTTCCGGGAAGGCATGTCACTTGAAATGTACATATCTCATTGATGTGCATCTATATAATATTACTACAAATCCCGGCGCTCTTAATAGCAGAATAAGTATTAAATAAATTAAAAAATTAAAGAATCTGTTAGGCGTTACGAAGTACGCCGGATCCGCTAGTTTCTTATAAAACTAAATTCATATTTTTATGATCTCCGTAAAATCTCCGGTCGAGCGCAGTGATGGCTGGCTCATCCGTCATACTCGTGAACGGGTGCTGCTTGTAGGGACTGGTCTGCTCTAATCACTATGACTGATTTCCTCTTATTAATTGTTTAACCAGTTGGTTATGTATTCAATACTTTTTCTTTTTGAGTATTTAATTGAATTAGTGCTAATTGGTGGTTTGTATTCACACACTTAAACTTAAAAATGTAAAGTAATAATAAAATTATTTAAAAGAGCAACACGCAAGTTTCTTGCTCGTTTTTCTTGTGATGAGACAGCTTTCCGAACGAGCGGTAGTTTAAAAAAAATGTAATGACTATTCAAAAGTGCTTCAATGTAAGTTTATTTGAATAAATGATTTTCTATTCTATTCTATTCTAATTGACAAGTGTTGATAAAAAAAAAACGGACGTAGCTAGAGTCATTGCTATTCTAACACAACTAGGGTTCTTACTCGTTAGGCAGCGACTCAACCAAATAGACCCGGAGGTTAAGCGTGTAGGTCTTCAGCCTAAATAGGGCGGAATAGGTCGCCCTACACCGTTTACAAGGCTAAAGGGCCAGACCGCGGTAGAATGCTAATGCAACCTCGCGACTTTGGCAGTGGCGGTCTTAGGTAAACTGTGTGGATTTTTAGTGGGTAAGAATCCCACAAACCCCTCATTACCCCTCTGGCGAGGGGGAAAGTATTTTAAAAATTTGTAGACATGATAAAATAAAAAAAAACATTACTTATTTTTTAAATTTCGCGAATTTTAAATGATAACAAATTTAGATTAATTTACCTAAAGTATATTTTATGTACATTTGGTCGGGGGCCTGGTGATCTGTATTACAGGTCATATCTATTTCAAACACCACCTTGTCACAACAATTGATTGTAATCTATACATCTATACATATAAATAAAATTGGAGTGTCAGTTTGTCATATTGAAATAACAGTTTTTTACTACATGCATATGAATATAAATACGGTATATACACCAAAATAACATTTTTTACCATTTTTGTCTGTCTGTCTCTTTGTTCCGGCTAATCTCTGTAATGGCTGGACCGATTATGACAGGACTTTTTTTGGCAGGTAGCTGATGTAATAAGGAGTAACTTAGGCTACTTTTATTTTAGAAATATAAAGTTAAATTCCACACAGACGAAATCGGGTACAGCTAGTTATTAATATAATTAAACAGATTAAAACACAAATAATTTTATGGTAAATAAAGGTATATAAATAAAATTGAATTGTCTGTTTGTAATATTAAAGCTAAAGATAAAAATAAAAAGATAATATTAAAAAAAAGTCAACTCCACGCGGACGAAGTCGAGGAAACAACTAGTAAATAAATAAACGGATATTATTATGACAGACAGTCCTACAACAGATATTCGTAGTGACAACCCTGGTTTCCAAGCGTGATCCGTGGACCGTAGAGATGGAAGCTGCGCAGGCGCGAGTCACTGTACCACAGCCGCTCGCGACAATCACACGCGATCTCATCTCAAATTACATACATACTAATAAAAAGTGAATAAGTGATAATAATCAACATAGTGCTAAGATGTTGACGAGTCTACAGTCGCTACATGTAAGTTAAGGATTCCAATGAATTCGTTTTATAAATAAACTAGTTACCAACCCCGGCTTCGCATAGGTACATATATTATACATATAAACCTTCCTCTTGAATCACTCTATCTATATACTGTTTTAAACTTGACGCGGTCATTATTTATACATATAATTAGTAAAAATCACGGGATCTTACCACGTTTTATATCTATTTGCTGAGTTCCCGATATTTCGGTAGTGTTTCAACCACCATGATCACGGGTAAACTGAAGAGCAGCGGGTAGATGGAAAATGAAATCTTTTTATGGGCAGACATATGCCTCTACCTTTACACTTCGTTTGTTGCTACTACTGGAACTCAGCAAATAAATATAAAACGTGGTAAGATCCCGTGATTTTTACTAATTACACTCTATCTATAAAAGAAAACCGCTTCAAACTCCGTTGCGTAGTTTTATAGATTTAAGCATACATAGGGAACGGACAGACAGCGACAGCGACTTTGTTTTATACTATGTAATGATGTATAATTAGTTTCATATATAAATTGTGACTTTTTGACGAGAAATCCAGGAGCATTTTATTGTATAATAGTTGTATAATAGCAGTTTTCTATTTATACATATAAATAAAATTGGAGTGTCTGTTTGTAATATTGAAATAACAGTTTTTTACTACATGCATATGAATATAATTACGGTAGCAAAATAACATTTTTTACAATTTTTGTCTGTCTATTTTTTTTTAAACCCTAAATTTTCAACCTTCTGTCATGAACCCCTATTTTTAATATTATTTATTTCATTTATATACCAAAACAACGTTTGCATGGTCAGCTAGTATTGTTATATATGTTTACGACCATTAATAATTACTCTGCTTATTAAATAAATTAAATCAAATTTATATATTTGCAAAATACCATAGTAATTTACAAAATAGATAAACAGAAAGGTCACTTACCGGACCACAGACAATCTAGTGATACTGATACCAGTATCTACGTCATGTGAAATCAGATCTCTTATCATAAATGCTAATCCAGCATCAGATAGGATGCAGTCGAGTGCACGTATATATTATCTCTATTTAGATATAACTCTCATATCAGATAGACTTCATTTCTCATATCAGTTACATCACATTGCATTTGTATATATGACAATATTGCTGCTACCAATAACAATACATCAGATCAGTTTTATTTCTAACAATAGATTGGTTTTATTTCAGAAATTCAGAAACAATTGACTTTGTGTTTGAAATTATTATATGTGTTTATTTTTGTTTGAAAGGATTATTATATACTAGCTGTGCTCTCGACTTCATCTGCGTGGAATAGTGACCTTGACCAAATATAGAAAAAATATTTAATAATCTAACCCAAAAAAGGCAAAAAAAAAGATACCTCGTTACATCTTCAAAAGTAACAATTTTCTATACAAATTTTCATCCCCTGTTTTTTACCCCTTTATGGGTAACAATTTTAGAAACTTAGTCATATTTATTTATATTTAATGAACAGCCTAAAAAATAAGTTTCAAGATCCTAGTTTTAAAAATGACGATACTTCTATAGAACCCTTCATCTTCCCTTTCAACCCCTTACGGGTTGTAAGGGGTTGAAAGTTTATTCGCATTAAAAAGTAGCCTATGTCCTTTCTACCTATGTACCAACTTTCATTTAAATCGGTTGAGTAGTTTTGGCGTGAAAGCGAGACAGACAGACAGAGATACTTTCGCATTTATAATATGATGTTACACAATTTTTACTGGTCTAAAATAAATCAATATTATAAAACACTCTTCCAACAGAAAAGAACCTACCCTTCAAGAGTCAAATTTTATAAACTGTATCTCGGGTTTCACTTTTTTTAGTATTAACATTATTTGGCTGTAATGGAATTTCCAGGGCCATAAAACTACTTAGTAAACATCAGTTGATAGTATTAATATGTATAGGCGTGGTGTCAAAATTCTATATTCTTTCATTCATTCATAACTTATGAGCGACGCTCTTGTCGGTGGAGCTCTTGCCACGTTCCACGATCTTCCATCATGCTCTTTAAATACGACACGACTCCAATTTTGTCTTTATTTTGCTCGACGAATCTCTGCCTTGGTCTTTCTCTGTATTCTTTATAATTGTATTTTTAAATGTGATGTATTTAATACCATCATTTTGTTTGATGTTTCCACCATCTAAATTAAATCATCAGTTAATTTATTACTATAGCATCTATAGGTCTAACTTCCTTTTTTCTTTTTTTTTACTACGTTTGTGGCAAACAAGCATCTGCTGGTAAACGGTTACCATAGCCTATGGACGCCGGAAAAACCAGGGGATTCACGTGCTGTTGCTGACCCTTAAGAAACCTTAATATACCCTTCTTGGAAATCCCCATGCTGTCTCCCAAGAAAATCTTGGCAGGTAGTTCGTAACACAATCTAAGTGTACGAGGGGGAAAGGGGATTGGAAATCCCCATGCTGTCTCCCAAGAAAATCTTGGCAGGTAGTTCGTAACACAATCTAAGTGTACGTAGTAAATAAGTAATTAAGGTAACAAGCCTGGAATGTAATATCGAGGTATATTGTATTATTCTCTATTGCCAATCAACAATATTTTTTTTTTCAGTTGGACGAGTGCAGTGATTACGAGCAGCGTCGTCGTCTGCGCGCGCGTCTCCGCACACTGATGGCTGAGCAAGAAGGTGAGTCTATTTATGTTAGGATGAAGAAGGAGAATAACGACTTAGGAGTTTGCTTGCTGAATTACATTTTTACCAATTTGTGTGAATACAAACTGCCAAATGCCAAATGTTACATAAATATATAGAAACTTAAGTAACAAAATAAATCAGTCGTAGTTATTAAGAAATCGTGTCAATTTAATAGCAATATTCTCTACATTTAAAGTCATTACACTATGTCCATAGCATGCGCGAGCGCCGTAACGGAGGCGTTGGCGGCGGCCGGCGAGGAGGGCGACAGCGCGGAGAGCAGCTCGGCACGCGGTGAGTCTCTCCTCCTCCCGCTGCTGCAGGGGCTGCTGGGCAGCGGCGGCGAGCGCCTGCTGGCCGGGCTCGGGGCCGCCGGCGCTGACGTGGTCGCCGACGTGCGCCGCTCGCTGGCGCGCCTCCGAGCCGCCCTGGCGCCCCCGGCCGACCATCCCCAGGCGCGGGCGCTCCTCACGCTGGCAGACCGTCTCGAGGACGCCCTCGACACGGCCGACCGACTCGACGGCTGCCGCAGAAAACCACGCCGTCGCAATCGAGCCAACCGTCATACTGTTGGTGTCACGCACGAGGAGCTAGCCGAAGCACGGCGACTGGTGGACCGGGACCAGCTATCGATGAACGCTGAGAACGTAGAACCACCGACGTCTTCGTCCGGCGCACCATCTGTTGTGTCCACAGCCAATAGTATCGAGGAGCCTTCTACGCCCGAGCGTAAACCTAGCATAGATGAGGAAATGGTCAGTTACCATAATGCAGTGACTCCGCGACAGAAGCAGGCACCAATTCAGCACTCTGCCAGTTTTGTGGCTCCCAAAGTGAACCATGATGCACACATAGTGGAGAGACGAGCTTCGGGGCCCAAAAGACCTGACTTTTTCCGTCACTCGCTTGCTGACGGAGTACAGCCCCCGCAGGCCCGTGAGGCACCGACCCGACGACCGCACGACTCTAGGAGTGGGATAGCTGCCATAGCTAATAAGTTCGATGCCAAAGCAAAAGATGCACGAGAAATAATGCCGACGAGACGCGCTCCTATCGCTCGATCTCCTCCACCAGTTAGTGCTCCAACTGTACCAAAGAAGCAAATAATACGCGAAGAACCTAAACGAGCACCGCTATATAAACCACTACCGCCAACATACAATTTTGCTGCACCTCCGACAGTAGAAGATTTCTCTAAACCTCTTAATCGCTTCAATAACAACAAACGTAGTCGCATGAAACGCGCAAATACTATAGACATAGGACGGCCTCTCGGAGGTTATAAAATAGACAGCGACACTGACGACGAAGGTGGAAATCGTCACGCGCCACTTGTGCCCGAGTTCACTCCGCAAACGGAGAACGATAGGAAGTTTGTAGCTTTTATGCGTAAAAATCAGGAAAATGATCGCACCATCGTTAACGGGCAATCAAATTGGAGTAATCGATTTGGTAACATAAAACATACATTTGAAACCCGTGAACGTGACGATCAAAGTAGGTCTTCTAGTGCTTCGTCAGCTAAAAGATTTTGGCGTACAACGGAGGAAACTCCGGTTTCTGCTCCTCGTCCGCGCAAGTTCCTTGCGGATGTTAGTAATACGGAGGTAGTCAAGCCGCCGTGGGTCAACGAACGCCGGGAACCACCTCGTGTGACCATTCCTCCGCAGGCACAATTTCCACCACAAGTGCAGTTACAATCACCACAAATACAGCTACCGCCTACTCTACCATCTACGCCTTTGTCGCCCCACACTCACCCGCCAGTGCCGCAATCACCAACAAGGCCGATAGCTGTAAAACAATTCGTCGCTAAACCAATTCCAGTGAATCAGTTTTCACATGCACCGATGTCAGCATTCAAACCACCGGCGAAAATTGTATCTCCCACAAGTGCACCATCTCACGTTTGGAGCCCCCCATCACTCAGTAGTGCAGTATCTCCAACGACAGAGATTCCCCCTACTTATCCTGTTGCTCCGAAGCCTATCGCTCCCAGTTCTCCAGTTCCTAGTGTACCATGGGCGACTGCTGATTTTGATAAACCTAGACGAGTGGTCGGCCTCGCAGCTGCAAGGTTTGAAAATGCAAATATTGAACCTCCACAACCGCCTGCAGCATTGCCATTTAGAGAGCGACCATTCGTTTCTAACCCTCCCACTCCACCGACTCACGCGCCAGCACATATACAAAATTACCCAGTAAAATCAATACCGAGTCAAAATAATCTCTCTGCTCCAGAATTGGTCAAAAAAGTCGACGGCGAAAACCAAAATTATAATCCTGAGCAGTTTTCTCAAAAAATGGATTCACAAAATTACGGGTCCACTCCGTTCCCGGGAAAAGTGGATGCGCAGAAACTGCAAATTGAATTTTATGAGAAACAGATTCGTCAGCGAAGTAGACCCGAGCTACTAACGAACGGACATCGTTCGGTTAAAGAGCGCAAGCCACCTGCGCCTCCGTCTTATACGGTCACTGACTACACGCCAAATAACGTAGTATCGACTTTCGTACCTCTCCAACAGACGCCAGATATCGAGAAAGCTCGAGCCCATAAAGTAGATTATCTTCCGGATGTGGTCATGAATGAGAACGATCGAAACAATTATACACATTCGCCAAATAATCATACACACACGCGGACACCCAACCACTCATATTCCCCTAGAAATAAAGGTCCGCACGTACACCAGAACGGGGACTCGTACGTAAACGGTAGTGACGACGGACCGACTACGGAGCACGGAAGCGTCGTAACTAAAGTGATGCGGGGCCCCGTGCGGGGAGCGGCCACCATCACCGCCGGCGTCCGCACGCGGCACGACGACGAGCGCCGCGGCGCGGACAACCTCAAGGGAGTACTCGACAAGCTGTCGCTGCCGAAGCGCGAGGCGGGCGCGCACGGCGACCGCAAGAAGAACGTCGCGCGGAACCAGGTACGGGCCCCCGCACAGAACGGCCCCTCTCCCCTCTCCCCGCTCGAACCCCTGCACGCCCGCGCGGCCCCGCCCCCGGGCGGGCGCAGCCCCGCGCTCGCCGCGTCCCGCGAGTCCGTGTCGTCGAGCGAGTCCCCCGCCAGCGGCTCCAGCCCGCTCAGCAGATCCGGATCCTGGCACCAGATCGCGGACCGAGCGCCCAAGTCGTCGTCTCCGAGACGCGTGGTGTCGCGCGCCAAGTCGATGCACCTGCTGGCCGTGCCCAAGCTTTACGAGGGCGGCATCGCCCGGGACGACGTCGGCGAGAAAAAGAGGACTGTGGAAGCTTACTTCGGCGGGCAGACGGCGGCGAACAAGTCGCAGGCGGCGCACGTGCGCGCGCGGGCCGGGCGCGCGTCTCACGGCCAGCCGTACTCGCTGGGCCGCAGCCGCACCATGCCCGCGGTGTCGGAGCTGCAGTTCCTCGACGAGAGCAACGCGGACGACGCGTTCGAGGACCTGGTGTCGGCGCTCGCGTAGCGCCGCGCGCACATTCCACTAGTTAGGAGCGGGAGACGAGCGAGACGCGCGTGAGTCGTGTGTGTGTGGGCTGCCTGCCGCTTGCCTGCGCCCGTGTCCGCCGCATGACCCCCACCCTGACCCCCGACCCCCGACCCCCGACCCCCGACCCCCGACCCCCGTGACCCCGGCACCGACACCCGCCTCACGTCGTTGTATATACTCGTTGTAATTGTAACATCTGCAATAATCTGAATTCATTTCATCTAGCCCTGTAACCGTGTTATTTTGACTAATAGCTTATAAGTATCTCTGTACTGTCTTGCTGATTGTGTTGAAGTGTTTCGACTTAGTGTTAGACTGTGTAGCGGGGGCGGCCGACGAACTAAAGAGGTGTTTGTTTTAATTTCCAGAGGAAGAAAAAGTAACCACTGTGACATCGAGCGTGAGGAGGAACTCATCCGAGAAAACCGTTAGCAGTAGCACCACCACTAAAACATCCAAAGGTAATACAAAACTTAGGTGCTACAGCAGAATCAATACCTTTCCACTCGCGATAAAACTGATAACCGGTCAGAATCGGTTACCACTCACTATCAGGCTATGTAGAGAATGGTAACCGACGCCTATATACACAGACAGTAGCACGCACATTATTATATGGTAACCATGATACCACTCATGCGTTGCCATTCCAGACTGCTAAGAAGTCATGCCTTCAAATCCTATAATATCACTTCGTTATATTACCTGTGGACGGCTCGTTTTAGGAAAAGAAAATACTAATAGAAAAGCTGAATAGAAAAAATATGTTTATTGCAAAAATTTCTAAATATTTAATTTGACACAAAAAAATACGACATTCTCTCTTTTTTAAAATATTGACATAAAAAAGAATTGTACATAAAACCTCAACATTACCCTTCAACTCAACATATCTTACTTTCCTTGGTAGCCACAGTTGGAGAAATAGAAGTTTTCACGTAGACGACTTTTTACAAAGTCTATCTAAATCTAAATACAAATCCTAGTCTTGTAAAGAGATAGGTTTGTTATATATTATTTTTAACAATGATAATGGAATAGTGCACCTATGTACGCTAAAGAACCACCAGTGGAGGATGATAAGGTAAGCATGAAGTCCAGACAGCTTATCGTGACAAATTCGCCAGGAATCAAACATTACGTGTCACGTTGTTTGTCCACGATGGACTCCTAAACTACAGAACCGCTTCCAAATATGATTTGCACATTGTGTCCAATTTGATCCAACTTGAAAGTTTGGGTAACTTACATCTCAATTTATAGTCGCAATGTACTTAACCTTAGTCACATCACGCGTGGCCTAGTCTACTAGTTTAATATATAAAATGTTGTAATAATTTAGTACATTTGTTATTATTTATTTGGCCCTATTCAAAACTGATTTTGATGCCTCTGCCTTATGGTGTTGTATATGGGACACAGTCACCTAGATACATCAAAATAATAATTGCATTTAATAATGTCTAGTAAGACAAATCCAATATTGTCTACTAGGCACTGCTGTGTCTAAACTGTGTCACCCCACCTTACATTTTCCTATTGTTATTTCGTATATAAGGTCATTATTTCTATGTACATATTGTCAGTTTATTATCATCTGTAATATACATCGCCTCGACCAACAACATCGTATCATTCACCCGCAACATTGTACACCAGAACTACATGACTTTATTGTTCTCCGCAGTGCTGGAGAACGTGAGCCGGCCGGCGCCCAAGGTGTCCCCCTTTGCCAAATTCCGCCAGCTCGAGAAACAAAATTCAGTTAACAGTCCCAGGTGAGTACCACACCAGACCCCTCATCCTGACCACGGAACAACATCTCCGTACATACAGACCTATTTATTATCTATAACTTATTATGAAAAATATATAAGAGACGTTTATCTGTATATTTAGTATAAAATCTATTCGCTTGGTATTTATTTAATATATTTATTTATGTTGGCAGCCATATCTGTGGATACCAATAAGGAACACGTAAATATTCAATATGATATATGAATTAACATTTTACCTACAGTAGCCGCTTTATTACAAATTATACCTTATATAATCATGACAAGCATCATTTTAGAATAAGTACATAATACATAAAAAACAATCGTGTGTACTTATCCCATTAATTGGTTAATTCAATCGGCAATCGCTTAACATAGTAGATAATGAATCACACGCGATAAACATGTAAATAACATGCGATTCGCTAGCTAATGGCACAGCGCGTTCGAGCACGTGATTGTCAACGCACGGTCTGGGGTTGCCAGATAGAAAATAAAATCCTGGACAATTCTACGACAATGATGTCGGCTCGTGGCCGTAGTAAACAGTATCTTAGTTTTTTTTTTATTTCGAAACGATTTATATTTGTATTTGAAAAGGTAATTAACGCCAGTTATAATTTTAAGATATTAAAACTTTGTTAGTAAATCAACATATTAAATTTAAATAAAATTGAACAAGCTAAGTGCTTATCAATAAATTTAAACTTAGGTAGAAAATGAAAACTGTAAATAAACTGAAAAAAATAACAATATCTTCCTTTCATGAATTTAGTTTTGTTGGTGCGTAAAATAAAAACAAATCGAGCACATTTGTATTCTACCTATCTAAATCTAAATTTGTCGTTAGTTATTGTTTGGTTACAAATCAAGTAGGTTTTCTGATTCGGGACAGTAAAATCTAAGGACACGGGACAAGACGCAAAATTCCGGGACAATCTCAGATTTCCCGGCCATCTGGCAACCCCGGCACAGACTAATACCGATCGGCAGTACGTCGAGCGCCGCGAACTAGAGTCGCGAGCGAGACTAACGTGAGCCCCCGTTGTAGCTCGCCCAAGACGCCGCAGAGCCCGGGCTCTCCGTCGCAGCCTTACTTCAAGTTCACGGACCCCACGGTGGCCTGCAGCGCGCTCACGATTAAAGAGCGGCTGCTGCAATGGTGTCGCGACAAGACTCGAGACTACGAGGTACACCCCGCACCGACCCCCCGCCCCACGACCCACGACCCACGCCCACGACCCACTACGTTTCGCAACCACTTGCCTGATCCCCACTAAGTGTCTGTTTCTTATACGTGGCATGTTTAGTAAACAATTTTGGCGTTTGTTTCCATAGAAATAACAGTGCGTAATATAATATAAACAAATAGACGAAAATAATTTTATTTACTCATTAAAAATTAATTTTGAATTAAGTATTTTTTATAGGATACGCTAAAATTGTTTACTAAATATAAAACAATAAAATATCTAACTCAGAGTTGTAAGTTGTCACATTAAAAGTAGATAGATTGTGTTGTAATGTTTCAATGTAACTCTTAAATAAAACGTACTGGGACGTTACCACGTAACGGATGTATATTTAACAGATTATATTAAAAAGAATATATACAGGGTGTCCCAGAACTCAACGTCAAGCCGAAACGAGGTAATAGGATTGATTGTAAAGATCATGAAAAAAATCCAATGCAGTTTGGAAATTATGGACATTTACAATCCACCCTATAACCACATTTCGGCTTGATGTTGAGTTCTGGAACACCCTGTATATATATAATTTGGGAAATTGCATCTATGATGAGCGAGGGCGTAAGGGCGCACGTAACGGTACCATCTACCGCGTGATGTTTTTACCCTGTGGCATGCCGCGATTAGCACACTTAACACCCGCGACACCGACCTACCACCAACAATTACCACCGACTACCGTCCACCACAGTGGAAACTAACGTCAGTATGTTCAAATCCAACCAAATTATTTTATAGCTGTATACGCATAAACATCAGTGCCAGATTTATATTTTTTACTAGCTGTTCCCGCGACTTCGTCCGCGTGGAATTTAACTTTTAGATAATAAAAGAATTTCAATTTTATACTCCTTATTACATCAGCTACCTGCCAAATAAAGTCCCGTCAATATCGGCCCAGTCATTCCAGAGATTAGCCGAAACAAACAAACAGACAGACAAAAATTGTAAAAAATATTATTTTGATGTCTGTACCGTATTTATATATATATATGTGTAACCGTTTTTTCTTACAATGAATATATTATTTATATTCATTGTAAGAAAAAACGGTTATTTCAATATTACAAACAGACACTCCAATTTTATTTATATGTATAGATAGGCAAAATTAATTTAATAATGACTATATAAAACGCTATACAGCATTTCAACTTGTTCGTTGATAAATTGGTTTTGAACTACTGCGTGAGTTACACTGTGTCACCGCTCACTACACGACTCATGCTTCTTCTGATGCTTCGTGTTCGCTGTACTTCTGTTATGTACATATATATATGTTTATACTTAATTAATGTATGTACTATACTTCAATACTATAAACTACCAAATAATACGACTTTGGTTACATATAATATACATTTAACTTACATATATAGTGAAATTATTATATAATATAAAAATGTGTGAAAAAAAGTTAACAATAAAAATTAAAAACTAACAAATTTTGAATATTATGAGCATGGTTTTAAACTTTCCGTGTTTATTATACATTATTTATATTATTAACCGGGTCTTAACACAAATAATTTTATGGTAAATAAAAGGTATTACCTCTCGACGTTTCGACTAGGTTGCACTAGCCGTGGTGACGAGCTGTCTGAGCTGAAGAAATACCTTTATTTGCCATAAAATTATTCAAGTTAAGACCTGGTTAATAATAGGTAAATAAAGGTATTTACCTCTCTCGACGTTTCGACTAGGTTGCACTAGCCGTGGTCACGAGCTGTCTAAGCTGAATAAATACCTTTATTTGCCATAAAATTATTCATGTCAAGATCTGGTTAATGCTAGGTAAACAAAGGTATTTACCTCTATCGACGTTTCAATGAGCCGTGGTCACGAGCTGACTAAGCTAAATATCTTTAATTGCCATATAATTATTCAAGTCAAGACCTAGTTAATAATAGGTAAATAAAGGTATTTACCTCTATCGACGTTTCGACGAGCCGTGGTCACGAGCTGACTAAGCTAAATATCTTTATTTGCCATAAAATTATTCAAGTCAAGACCTGGTTAATAATAGGTAAATAAAGGTATTTACCTCTCTCGACGTTTGGACTAGGTTGCACTAGCCGTGGTCACGAGCTGTCTAAGCTAAATAAATACCTTTATTTACCATAAAATTATTCAAGTAAGACACGGTTAATAATATAAATAATGTATTATGAGCATGACTTGAATATTATTATAAATTGTGTGCAGAAAATAGAGACATTTGCATGGAATGTGTTGATTAAAATAATTCTTGAAGGTGAAATTAACGAGACTATTTCCACTTGAGTCAATATTAAATATAGACACTTCGCACACTTATTATAATACTGGCTTAACTCAAAAATTACAAATTTTGGAAAGTCCACTTTATAACTGTGGTATTTAAGACTAATTTCTAAAATTTCTAATTTCTGAATTACGCCATTATTGTACTAGACATGCGATTTGTATAATGATATCTACTGCATACATTTTGTAGATATCACTAATTTCTAGAATACTAGCGCATTCTGATTTGAGCTAGAAATGCAGTGGCGTAACTACAGGATAACAAGTCGGCAAAATACCGCGTACCCCCAGCCGAAAAGGGAAATTAGTGGAGAATTCTAACTCCCAACTTTTTTCATTACAGTCTAGCTGTTCCCGAATTTATATTCATATGCATGTAGTAAAAAACGGTTATTTCTATATTACAAACAGACACTCCAATTTTATTTATATGTATAAAAAATAATTATTTTTAACACAAACTTCGTTTTTTTTAACTTTATTTTTCTAAAATAAAAGTAACCTAAGTTACATCAGCTTCCTGCCAATAAAAGTCCCGTCAAAATCGGTCCAGCCATTTCAGAGATTAGCCGGAACAAACAGACAGACAGACAAAAATTGTAAAAAATGTTATTTTGGTATATGTACCGTATTTATATTCATATGCATGTAGTAAAAAACTGTTATTTCAATATTACAAACAGACGCTCCAATTTTATTTATATAGTGTGTACAGATTACGTGTATTATTTTTTAAATATGTTTTTAGTGTACAATAATTTGAGGTAGACATTACTTAATCCCTAGATTTATTTCATTTTTCAATTATTTAAAGTGCCCACGGGTGATAACCCGATCGCAACGTGTAAATCACTTTCGTTGCGGAGTGATCCACCGGCGGGCATGCGGTCCTTAACGTTTTAAGTGCTTCTTAATATTAGGAGAAGGGGTTCCGGTGAATTCGCCACGGGCCCAACGATATAGTTACGCCACTGTACACACAAATTCTTCGAAAGCATTATTTAATTAATATTGTTTTCAAATGTTTTTATTTCAATAACTTTCACAATTGTAAATGCAATATAAACTATTATTATACAATATAAGAAAATGTATAAAATCTAAGATTCATACAAGTCTGTTTACACAGGAAATTCGTAACTACCAACATATAAAATTGAACTGTATAATACTTACATTAGAGCTGTTATTGGATAACCAGTCAGTTAAAAAATCACGAATGTCAATCACAATCAGTATAGTCAGTGTTGCCTGTCCAAAAATGAACAAAACGGTTTAATAATATAAGATTCCTTCCGGTCTGTTTATACAGGAAATTCGTTACAAATAAAGACCATGTAACTACCAACATATGATTTGAACTGTATATTACTTACATTAGAACTGTTATCCAAAAATATAAAATAAAATCACTGTCATTCACAATCAGTATAGTAGTGTTGTCTGTTCGAAAAATGGACAAAACGGTTTAATAATCTAAGATTCCTTCAGGTCTGTTTACACAGGAAATTCGTTACAAATAAAGACCATGTAACTACCAAGATATAATTTGAACTGTATATTACTTACATTAGAGCTGATATCCAAAAATATAAAATAAAATCACTGTCATTCACAATCAGTATAGTAGTGTTGCCTGTTCGAAAAATGTACAAAACTGTTTAATAATCTAAGATTCCTTCAGGTCTGTTTACACAGGAAATTCGTTACAAATAAAGACCATGTAACAACCAACATATAAAATTGAACTGCATATTACTTACATTAGAGCTGTTATCCAAATGTATAAATAAAAAAAAATCACAACTGTCATTCACAATCAGTATAGTCAGTGTTGCCTGTCCGAAAAATGTACAAAACGGTTTCATAACTAAAATATGTTTAGCTTTTCATGAAGAACTCTTTACATAGTACAAAATGAAGTTGCGTCACTTAGATCTTTTATACTACACGATAGATTTTAATACAGTTTTCAGCAATAGATAGAGTGATTCAAGAGGAAGGTTTATATGTATAAAACTTGCGTGTTATAGTATAGAACAGAGCTTCCCAAACTTTTTTGTGTTGTAACACCTTACCATATTTTTAGGTTTTGGATACACCCTCCATTTTTACCTGATATTGTTTTTTTTTTTGTAAATTTCTAACTGTAGTAAAGTTTAGTGTTAAAAACATAAAGTAAAAACAACAAGATGACCTCTGTCGTAGACCCGTCGCAGTTTATCATAGACCACTGCTCGATATAGACTACTTTAGGTATAACTGGTATAGAACAAGCCGATAAATTTAAAGATTTGTAACGCATCCGTGCTAAGCCGGAAATTAAATCACTAGATACATCATTTAATAATGTTGTTTACCGTTCGGATAATAAAAATGTTTCCGTAATGACAAGTAGTTACACTTTAGATTATATAATTTCCACATTACCTATCAACACTGAGAGACAATGTTAAGGAGATCTAGATAACAAACACGTAAACGGTAATCTAATAAAAAATCTCGTATTTTTCTCACAAGAGATAATTCAAGTGCATTAGGAAATAGATTAAAAATGTATGACTATTCAAAAGTGCTTAAAATTTTTGTTATTTGAATAAAAAAAAAATGTATTCTATTCTATTCTAAAACTTTATAATTTACTAGACCAGTCCTTACTGTCTGATAAAACAATATTATATGCTAAATATATCTATAGGTGTTTTTTTAATTAGATCATTTTTTTTATTAAATATCTTTATTGCATCATTAAAAGTATATTTCAAATTCAAAGTCTTTATTAATCGACACAAAATTATACAATCTAACAAAAATTTTTAATTAAAAGTTTAAAATATAAAAGAAATATTAATGTGAAGGATGGAGATCAAGATGACGAGCAAAAAGTAAAACGGCACCGTTGTAGTTGATAGAATATTTTTGTATTAAATTGACTTATGTCATATAAAAACAATATAATATTATAAAAAATCAAACAATAAAAAAGGTATAAAAATAGTTTGCAACAATTAATGTAGGATATATAGTATTTGGCATCATTAATATTGTTCATAACGTACTCTGTGCAGTTGACAGAGCCTGATTGTAGAAATGGCGGGAACGGCCTAATTAAATGTGAAACGCAATGTAGCATTTTATTTATTTAAATATTTAAATACAGTACAATTAGTTATGTTACTTTCAATTCTGCACGTCAATCTCTGAGTCAACAAGTCCTTTAGACACAAAGGCCTCCTCCAGCGTTTAATTTATAAATAAAAGATTATAAAAAACTAAAGGCCCTCTTATCTCTAATGCAATCTCTTCTAGATAACGTTTGGAAAGAGAAAATATTAAATTTCGTAATATTTCCGTACACTTTTCTTTTCTGGACAGCATAAAATCACCTTAAAAAGAACGCTAGTCAGTCGCTCTTGTCGTCAAAACCATATAATAATTATTTGTGATTAAAGTAAGTAAATTTAAGCTTAATAGAAGTACTTTTGAATGATTAATTTTTTATTCATTCGAAATAGAAAATCAACTAAGAATGAGCTACTTACAGTTTTATGATTTTTATGACTAGTGGGCCCGGCAAATGTTGTTTAGCCCACTAGTCATATAAGTCATGATTAGCTATCAGAGCTATCTGCAAACAACTTTGTAGCCAAATGTTGTGTCTTTGAATGCACGTGCGGATTGTATGTTTGTATGACACTTGTATGTGTGTATGAACAGAATGTGAAGTTGGAGAACTTCTCGACGAGCTGGGCGGACGGGCTGGCGTTCTGCGCGCTGGTGCACCACTTCCTGCCAAACACGTTTGACTACTCCAAGCTGACGCCGGAGCGGCGCCGCGCCAACTTCACGCTCGCCTTCAAAGTTGCTGAGTAAGATCTATACCATCTACCTACATATATACATTTGTGGCTAATTTACTATCATCGTGCGGCAACACCGTTAGCCGCTAAACATTTTATATTTATCTACTAGCTGTACACGCTACTTCGTCCGCGTGGAATTTAACTGTATTTTTCTAAAATAAAGGTAGTCTAATTTACTCCTTATTACATCAGCTACCTGCTAATAAAAGTCCCGTCAAAATCGGTCCAGCCATTTCAGAGATTAGTCGAAACAGACAGACAAAAATTGTAAAAAATGTTATATTGGTGTATGTACCGTTATTCATATGCATCTAGAAAAAAAACGGTTATTTCAATATTACAAACAGACACTCCAATTTTATTTATATGTACAGATATGTTCCAAAGTTAGTGTGATTAATGATAATTCTGTTGCTATTTAGTTATAAAATGGAAATTTGTTCTTTATTCTTGAATGAAATTTGGTAACTATACACGGATTTTTTTCTGTTACTAAAATATTTTTTATTCCTATCAACCTCGGATTGATTCTTTGGTCCTTCGAGCCGGATCGACTTTGTGCAAAGTTGTGTTTTTTTAGTTCCTCTCAAACATCTGTGTCCAGACTTTAAGAATAGCTTAAAATTCAGGCTTTGCTGTTATTGATGCAACTTGTTTATACTGTTACAGTGAGAAGGCGGGCATCTACCCACTACTGGACGTGGACGACATGGTGGCCATGCGCAAGCCCGACTGGAAGTGCGTGTTCACGTACGTGCAGTCCATACACCGCAGGTTCAAGGACCAGGACTGACCGCCGCCGCCCACCCACACCTGCTCTGTTCAGCTCTCTCAACGACACTAGCAAAACCCAGTGGTAGCACTCATATACTATACTGATTCTAAATGTTTCGAGTTCAAAATTAAATTAACAGTTTGAAATATTAATACAAAAACTTGCAAAATTTATATTCAAACCAAAACCAAGTCTAGAGAAACCAATCGCAGTCTAATTTAAAAGAAATGGATCTAGTTTTTGGACCTAGATCTAATGCAATTTTATTTAATTCGGATTACATCCATATTGTGTTAGTACCTAAACAACTTATAAACTGTGTTAGTAAACTATAATATACAGATATACTTAATTCATATATCTGTGTCCACGTCCAGAAGCACTAGGTCCGCAATGCAACGATATCCAGTGCCTCTAGAGCGGACAATCAGATATATTCGCAATAGTTGTTAGGATGCTGTTTGCGCTCCCCCGAATTCTAGACATCAGTGATGCAGCTCTTTTTCGCATTATGACTTTGAAACCTGTCTACCCTCGCTGCTGCAAACATCTCTGATGCGCTACAGACGATTCTGTAGCGCATCAGAGATGTCAAATATGTTCATCGGATTCATCAGATGATCAGAGATGTTCCTCGATAGGTACCCCAATAAGTCTCACACCATCTGCTATTGTTTGCTTGACATATCGTCAGCTTTGTTATTTTGCTCAGCTCCTAAAAGTCTTAGCGTGATGTTAAATAAAGTATAACCTTCTTTATGAATTAGGTCAAATAGAAAAGTCATTTAATCCAGTAGTTCTTAGGGTTCCCTTTCTAACAAACTCTTCAGCTATTTTATAGCTATCTATACTAATATATATATCTGAAGAGTTTGGTTATTTAAACGCGCTAATATCAGGAACTACTGGATGGAATTGTAAAATTTTAGTGTCAGATAGCCCATAATCAAGGTTATACAATATCACGCTACAATGAATAGGACCGGAGCAATTAATATTGTTGTAAAAGTTGGGAAAATTTAACGCAGAAAACTTAGTAATAGACAACTTCGTATAATCTATAGCAGTATGAACGTTATCACTGAGTTTTCCTTAGCCTTAACCTGTTCTATCAGTTAAGAAGTCTAGTGTATAGTTTGCTGAACATAGCAAGTTCACGACCAAAAATGGCATCGGATCGAAGTAGTCAAACGCCGAAGTCACAAAAATTGTGTGTTGTTTCTATAATTGTTGAGTCCAAAGAGAGGATGTTGTTGATTTGTTTTATTATTATGTTTTGTCAGATGTTTATTGTCCGCCCAACTCGTTTCTCCAAGCGCTGTCTCGAGCAGTCCTCCTATTTATTATATAATCTCAAGATACATGTGATTTTTTATATTAGCCACGTAAGTTTCACTAACATTTATATTACGTTAGGTCATAGTCATTAGCTCTTGTAATTGTTTATCGAGAGTCGCGGATCGCGAGGATCGCTTTGCCTTATTCATTTACATAAGACAGTTGAATCCTTGTGCCTTAGTGTACGGTCGGATGAACCATACCCCCGCACTTAAATTTTAACCGTATATGCTATACATTTTGACATTAACTATATAACGGCGGCTTGAAATAATCGCGTACTGATATTATCAAATTATAATTAAATATATTTATGTTATTTTATATTGATAATTAAATAAATATTATTAACAATTAAACTGTATTTATTATTTCAAGTGTAACTTTATCCATTTTGGAACTGTCGTGTTAGGACTACGATGAATAATATGAAAATGATAGCGCAAGTGCTGGCGACCAGGTACACAGAGATTATGGACATCTTAATTGCTTCATCTGATCTGTATTCTCCTTCTGAAATGCAGATGTTAGTTACATGTACAATATAATGTTAGGAAATTTGTGTATATGGATGGCTGGATGTTTATTACTCTTTCACGCAAAAACTACTGAGTGGATTTTGATGAAACTTTACAGTAATATAGCTTATACACCAGAATAACACATAGGCTATTATTTAAATAGATATTCTGTAAATTGGGCGATATAGTAAGAAAGTATGATGCAGACAAAATTGCGCAAGTCAGATAGCCTGAAAGTACTTTTTTTATGTGGATCTGAATGGTAAACCAGTTGAGTAAACAGCCCATTTTACAGTTAATGGTAACTGTCGCTTACCTTATAGTTAATGGTAACCGTTGCATATACATGTACATGTTTGGAACCATGATAACGTGATGTCCATCATCACGTCATCACGTGACATCCGCGATACTACATACATTGTCAATGTCATAGCGTTTATAATTCTGATGCTGTCGATGTGGTGATGATGTCAGTGATAGTGATTTTGATGAGATATCATCATCATCATCGATGCTCATAATCAATCATACAGGACCATAAATTAATTTTAATCAAGTCTTAATAAGCGAATGAATTAATTATTAGATTAGAAGCCAATTCCACTACTACACTATAGGATTATTTAAATGACGAGCGTGCATGTCAATAGTTGTTCATGCACAGGATTTTCATTTACTGTTAGACATAGACACCTACATAAGTATAACATGTAAATTAACTGACTTTTAAAACAAAAGAAATTCATCACGAGTGGAATGAGTAGTCATGCTCACTAAAATGTCCAGACGTGGCGGCGTGGTGGGCCGGGTCATTGGCCTCCCTAAAATATGGTCGAGCGCAGTGATGGCTGGCTCATCCGTCATACTCGTGAACAAGCTTGTAGGAACTGGTCTGCTCTTATTAAGAACTGATTTAATCTTATAGTATATTTATATTTGACCCAAAAAATTTGTGCTGGTTGGTAGTTTGTATTCACACGTTTCGACTTGTAAATGTAAATTTACAAGGATTATTTAAAAGAACAACACATAAGTTTCTTGCTCGTTCTTCTTGTGATGTGACAGCTTTCCGAACGAGTGGTAGATAAAAAACTAATTGTTATGACTATTCAAAAGTGTTTAAATGAAGTTTATTTGAATAAATGATTTTCTATTCTGTTCTAATCAGGTGAGTTTCTTGGCTTCTTCTGAATTGAATCTGTATACTGAACTGGACGGTAGGGAAAAAAATCACTAGGAATTCTACTATGACAGTTTTCAAAACATACTCGACCTTCTATATGTTATATAATACCATTAATAGTAATAGAGCACTCGTAGCATGTCATTTGATGCCCTCGGTAGTCCAGGGGATTAGCACTCACTACCTATGGTCACGGGTTCGATTCCTCGCACGCTAACATTTTGGTTAACGTAACGTCTGGGTGCTTTCAACGCCTTATTGATGATCATGGAATGGTGCACCCGCCTAAGCTGACGCTTGCGGAGCACTAGTGGAGGATGATAAAATGAATATGTAGTCAGGTCAGTTAGCCCATCGTGAGAAATTCACCACAAATTTATCACGACGATTACCAGGGGGAACCGCGTGAAGATCAATCTGACATGGTACATTGTTAGCAATGAGATCATCGGTCCATATTACCAATAATACCCCCAATTACGATCTGGGTGTTTTCCATGTATTTATAAAAAATGTATGTATTTATATCAGTTGTCTAGTACTCATAACACAAGCTCTGCTTAGCTTGGGACTAGATGGCGCTGTGGGAACTGTCCTGGGTTATTATTATTATTATGTCAATAACGAAATTAAACTGCCTCGCATGTTTAGTGGTTTAGCACACCGCCTTACTTCCGATGGTCGCGGGTTCGATTCCTCGCGCGGCACAATCATTTGTATTCATGAGTATGATTGTTTCTATCGGTCTGGGTGTTTTCTATGCATATATATGTATTTACAAAAAAAAATATCTATGTATATGTATATCAGTTATCTAGTACCCACAACACAAGCTAACCAAAGCTTAACTTGGGTCTAGATGGCGCTGTGTGATTAAAAAAAATATGATCTCTGTGTGAATAACTTACGGTTTACTTTCTAATAACTGTTCTGCTCTCTTCCAATTTAACAAACCGTCCCACCTTGACTTCATGGATCTGTTAAACTAAATGGCAGTGCCACCATAAAAGGATCAGCTATGTTGGTACTCCGGTCTGCGGTATCACTGTCTCCAGCCACGATGGTCACGTCCGAAGAGCGCGGCGTGAGGGTCTGCTCCTCCTCAGCGAGAGTCACGTGTACATTGAGGGTGCTATCTCTCCAAGCCTGCCACGACAGCTGGTGCTCTTGTATCTTGAGCAGCATCCATGTGGTCAGCAGCCCGTTGAGAGCACCTCCAGTGGCGTAAAGTAGCAAAATTATTATTACAATTAAATATCTATCTAAATATATATTACTCAAAGGTGACTGACATAGTGATCTATCAACGCACCACCCAAACCACTGGACGGATCGGGCTGAAATTTGGCATGCAGGTAGATGTTATGACGTAGGCATCCGCTAAGAAAGGATTTTGATTAATTCTACCCCTAAGGGGATAAAATAGAGAATGAAAGTTTGTATGAAACTTTGTCAATTTTAAACCGATCGTGCTGAGACTACTGAATACATAAAGCTACTATGACGTAGGCACCCCCTAAGAAAGGATTTTGTTACTTCGACCCCTAAGGGGATAAAATAGGTGATGAAAGTTTGTATGAAAGTACTGTAAAGCAGCAAAAACTATACCTAATAATAATACTTCTAAACGCGAGCGAAGCCGCGGGCAAAAGCTAGTGTCTAATAAGACAAACTCAATATTATGTAGTAAGCACTGCCGTGTCTAAACTGTGTCACCCCACCTTACATTTTCCTATTGTTATTTAGTATATAAGATCAATATTTTTATGTACATACATATTGTTAGTCTATTATCATCTGTAATACACATCATCTCAACCAACAACATCCATATACCGTTACCCCGCAACAGTGCACCCGCCTACGGTATACGCTGGCGGGACACCAGTGGAGGATGATAAGACAACGTGAGTATTGGATTGGATTGGATTGGATTGGATTGGATTGGATTGGATTGGATTGGATTGGATTGGATTGGATTGGATTGGATTGGATTGGATTGGATTGGATTGGATTGGATTGGATTGGATTGGATTGGATTGGATTGGATTGGATTGGATTGGATTGGATTGGATTGGATTGGATTGGATTGGATTGGATTGGATTGGGTTGGGTTGGGTTGGGTTGGGTTGGGTTGGGTTGGGTTGGGTTGGGTTGGGGCGTGGCAGAAACCTCTTGGGCCACCGTCGTTAAGGGGAAACGGGGAAAATGGTGAACGTCACGGAGGGCCAGGCGACACCATCAACGAGCCGTCAGGGGCCAAAGCCAGGCACATCAAAGCCGGCGAAGGCCACTGCGCCAGTCCCGTCGAAGTTAAAACCGCCCCGCTCTGCGGCGGTGGTAATAACCATCGACCCGGCTGCGGAAAAGGAAGGCGTGACGTACGCCAACATCTTGTTGGAGGCGAAAAACCGAGTCGATCTTCGGCCACTCGGTATTGAAGCGCTCAGATTGCGCCAGGCCATTACCGGAGCCAGAATTCTGGAAATCCCTGGCGCAGAGAGTAGTGGGAAAGCCGACGCCCTGGCGTCGAAGCTCCGGGAATTTATCCCGGAGAATATGGCAAAGGTGGCCAGGCCCGTCAAAACTGCGGAAATGCGCGTGATGGGCCTGGACGACTCTGCTACGACAGAGGAGGTGGCGGCGGCAGTTGCCCAAGCTGGGGATTGCCAGCCGGAAGCGGTGAGAGTGGGTGACATCCGCCGCAACTCCTTCGGGATGGGGACCTGCTGGGTTCGCGGCCCAGTAACGGCCATTAAGAAGGCGACCACCGCGAAGCACATTCGCATCGGGTGGGTGTCAGCACGGACGGAGCTCCTGCGGCAAAGGCCGCTGCGATGCTTCCGATGCCTGGAAGGAGGACATGTGAGCAATCAGTGCTCACACACCCAGGATCGCAGCGGTCTTTGCTACCGTTGCGGGGAAGAAGGTCACCGTGCGGCAACCTGCACAGCTGATCCGCGGTGCGTCGTCTGTGCCGCGCTGGGTCGTCCGGCGAACCATTGGGTGGGTGCGAAATCATGCACCCCGCCCAAAAACAAGAAGGCGAAACGGCCAGCCACTCAGGCCCCAGGCCGAAGGAGCGTTCAGGAGGAGGGGATGGAGACGGGCCACGAGCCCAGTCCCCCTCCTGGCGATCAGAGAGGTAGGGGCGGTAACTAGCCGCTCCTCGATCGCTACCGGGCCGGGGTGACGACCGCGGGGGCGGTCCCACCCCACCACACTAGGCCCGAAGAAGTCGCGCGCATGTCCCCGCGCGCCTTCCCCAGGGAAGAGGAGGGGAAGTAGTGGGTTCCGCTATGGAACCCGCAGAGATGGGGCCCGCTGCTAGAGTGGGCCACCGCCGCCGGAGTTGCGGTAGAATGTCATCGATCCCGCGACTCCGGCTTAGGCGTTGGGTGAGGGACATCTTGGAGTTTAGTGAGTAGGAGTCTCACAGTACCCGCGGGCTTCCCCCGGGGCCGGCGGGTCTCCATGACGGATTTTCTCCAAGTGAAAAAAAAAAAAAAAAAAAAAAAAAAAAAAAAGGGTTAGGTGGGGCGTGAGTCGGGCAACCTCCAAGTATGGGCCTGCCATTGGGAGGCTTCCCCATCCTCGTGGATACTTCCTCGGGGAACGGTGGCCGAGCAATGGTTTGGTTCTGGTACGCCCTGGGCGGGATAGTAGACGTTCCTTCGGGATACTGCTACTATGTCGGCCGATAGTCCGGCGAGTAGGTAGGAGTGTATATAGTGTATATAGTTAGGTTAAGTTATTTATTTGTAAATAGTTAGGTTTAGTTTGTATATTTGTAAATAGTTTTCTTCTTCGTTTTGTGTTCTCTTCGTTTTTATATTTTGTTCTTTTTGTTGTTTTTGTCTGTCCTTTTCTGTCCTTTCTTCCTTTCTATAGTTTTGTTTTGTTCTTCTTTTTCCTTTTCTGTTTTGATGCGGGACCAAACCCGGGTAAAAAAGGAACAAAGATGAGTATGGCCAGCAGAAAAAACTTAATACTCCAGGGAGGTACCACCCGTAAATCGGGTGGAGAATCCTCCACCGTCGCACCGGGCAAGCCGGGGGCGGTCAGCCCCATGTATCTGGAGGGGGCAACTGAGGCCAGAGGAAGGAGAGTTGTGGAGGGAGAGATGAAAGTGGTGGTCGTGAGGGATTTGGAGTTGGATAGGAGAAGTAGGAGTGAGTGCGACGAGGAGGAGTACTACATGGAGCGCTCCGACTCGTCGCTCTCACTATACTCGGAAGATGGCGCTGCAGGAGGAAGCGGGCCCAGCACATCTCGGGCTTCGCTGCGCAAAAGAAGGATGGTCGAAGTCGAATCAGACCCCGATTTGGAGTTTGACAAGGAGGTAGATGTTGTCGAAGTCATTGCGACTCCAACTGGTAAAAAAGGAAAGACGCCCACAAAGGGCAAATTCACGGATTTGACGCAGGCGAAGGCCGAATTGGCAGCCGCCACGGAACGCGATATGAAGATGGCAACAGCTGCAGTAGCTGTACCGAAACCGGCGGCGCGCCCTACCACCCGCAGGCCCTCTACTGAGGACTCGAAGCGCGCCGACGTGTTAGGATCGGACATTCGGGAGAGTGCCCTTAAAGTCCTCGAAGCCGTGAGGAAATCCGGCCACTTGAAGGGCACAGTTGTCAAAGAGATTAAGGACGCCGTCGCTACCATCCGCGCGGCGTCTGAATCACTGGTAGATAGGACCGCATCGTCAGAATGTGCAGCGTTGCGCCGGGAAAATTCCCGTTTGGCCAACGAACTGGCGGACATGCGGGAAATGCTGACGGGTATGAGGCAAGAAACCGCCAAATACTATTTAGAGCTTAAGACCCTCAAGAACACCATGGGGGCTTCCGCCAAGGGCATGGATGAGCTGGCAATGCTCAAGGCGGAAAGGGCGGAATGGGAGAAGGAAATGGCCGCGACACGGAGTTCCTTCCAAGACCTCCTAAAGAGGAGTACGGAAGATCGCTTAGCGCTTGCCACAGCGCAAAGGGAGTTGGCAGATGCCAAAGCCGCATTGGCGAAATCGCCGGAATGTGTGGCCATGGAAATGGCGCCCGATACTCAAGCTACTGGTCCGAGTGAAACACCGACCAATAGTGAGAGCGTCGAGGCACGAATTGTCAGGCAAATCGGGGACATATTTAATGCCCGTTTTGAAAAGATTGAGGAGCTCGTGGGTAGGCAAAACATCGCGCCACTTAAACGAGCCACGGCCGCACCCCGAACACCTGGAGCGGCTAAACAAGGAGGTTCCTCGGCGCCTGTAGCCAGCACTAGTGGGGCGGGATTGAGTGTTTCTCAGCCGCTTCCCACTACCAAGGAGCAATGGACGACAGTCGTCCGGCGTGGAAAGCGCGCCAAGGGGGCGAAGGGCAAGGAGTCAGCCCCAGCCACCCAGGCACCCACTGGAGGGGCGAGATCAGCCCAAAAAGAGGCCACACAGACGGCGCCTAACGAGGCCGCCAAGAAAAGGAATGCGAGAAGGAGGCAGTTCCGACCTCCGCGATCCTCGGCGATAGTGCTGACGCTACAGCCGGGGGCCGCGGAGGCAGGATCAAGTTACAGCTCGGTGCTCCGAGAGGCGCAACAAAACATCCGGTTGGATGCCCTCGGAATCACCGAGCTGGGCTTTAGACTGGCGGTCACAGGGTCCCGCATACTTGAAGTGCCGGGACCAGTGGAGGAAAGCGGCGGAAAGGCGGATGCCCTCGCCGCCAAGCTGTCGGAGATCCTGCCGGCAGATGTAGTTGCCGTCACCAGGCCGGTCAAGTCCGCGGAGTTCCGTGTCTTGGACCTGGACGACGCCACTGCCACAGCAGACGTGGTGGCAGCCGTAGTGCGTGAGGGAGACTGCGCCGAGGCCTCCGTAAAAACGGGGGAGATCCGGCGCTCTCCCTCAGGGAGTGGCTCCGTCTGGGTCCGAGCCCCGATAGGAGCGGTGAAGCGGCTGGTGGATGCCGGCAAACTCAAGGTGGGGTGGACGATGGCACGGGTGCGGTCCTTGGATCCCCGGCCGATGCGGTGCTACCGCTGCCTGCTCACGGGTCACGTGGGCCAGCGGTGCACCGCCAAGGAGAACCGCGGCGGAGCTTGCTTCCGTTGCGGACAAGACGGCCATAAGGCCGCAACGTGCACCGCCCCTTCGCCGCATTGCCCGTATTGTGCAGCGGCGAAGAGGAAAGCGGACCACAAAATTGGGAGCACCAAAGGG